ATGAAAGCGGAGAAGAATATCTTGCTTTTTGTTGTATAAACAGTAAATGAAATGGAAATATACTACTGAATAACATGAGTAGTTAGAAACCACCTAGGTTTATTTGTAGATTTCACCAGGCAGATCAGATATCATCAACAGATGTGTAAATTGTAAATCATTTACAAGTGAATACACCTCATTTGATGAATAGTAAACTAATGGGTAAACATAGATTTGCATTCACTTCAACGGTTTCTGGGGATTTCAATATTCCAATGACCCGCTGAATTTTCATACTATGGCTCGGTGGTGACACGATCTCAAGGGAATTCATGGTTCTCGGTTCGACCACTCATGAGGTCATATGTAAATACTTTGAGGAGTCCCAGGCTAAGATTAAACAGCTGACCCGTACACCAAGATTTCCATAAGTTCTGTGTCTGATGTCAGTTCGAAATTTAAACCCTTCTGGAAGCGAATACAGATCCAGTTTTTGTTCTAAGTCGAAAATATTAGACTGAGTTGTTTTTCCCAGTCTTCTGCTCTGTTTTCAAATGCCTTTGAATAGAATTTGATTCATTATCAATGTTATATCTTTCAAATGAAATGTGCCCCAACTATGTTCTCTTCAGGTTAATGTAATAAACGACTTCATAATATATCTCTACACTTACGTGATTAGTATTACGTAATGGCCATCAGACACAGGAAAATGTAAGACGTGGCCTTATGTATTCTATAACAAGATTCATAAATGTTCATTTTGTCGGGAAAAGAAATACTTAAAAACTGTATCATTTATTCACTGGATACATACATAGATGATGACAACGTATCGCCAACATATACATAATCCAATTAGGTAACAAATCAGTTCCCATTAAGCTAAAACTTATTAATTTTCCTGCAACTAAGTTACCATGTCTTGTGAAAATTCAAAATTGCTTTTAAAAGCTTACGGTAATTCTATAATTTTTCACATCAAAAAGGATTATAGCGATATGTGTAGCAAAATACAGAAACCTATTTCCTAATTTGAAATAAAATGATTCTACTCATCTTAAGGGATATTATTCCATTTGTTTTAAAGTATTTTCAATTTTCCTTTATACTAATTGACTTTAAAGTTGATTTATTACTGTAAAAATTAGAGCTGATTAAATTTAAGAATACTGTGTGGCTTATTTTAAGGTTAATACCATAATAAAGAGTATTATATTTTAGAAACGCTGGTCTAAATTATTTCTCAAATACACTGATACTCTTTTCCACCCATCTTGTCGACCAAAGCAGTAGTAGTAATAATAGAAGTGTGGATATTATTATCATAATTATTATTATTGAACTAATATCATTGTCACTATCGGTAGTAGTAATAGTAATAGTAATAGTAGTAGTGGTAGTAGTAGTAGTGACTTTGAAAGTTATCAAAACAAATACGCATTACGTTCATAATACTTTTTCCCTATTCCCTTGCAGCTAAATCAAATTATAACTCCGAATACTAACTTTCCACAAACTGAATTGCTCTTTGATGTATATCTTCATTGTTGATTGGACAGCAATGATCAGCTACTAATAGCATATGAGCTCCTATGAAGATGCCTCGATATCGCTGGAATTTTCATTCTCGATATTAATCATGTGTAGTGGCTAGCAGTTAAGTCCAGGACAAACGCTTCGTCCTATTTGGGACTCATCAGCTGGATGTAACTGCATCCCAGTGACTGGTTTTGTCCCCACTAGAACTCGAACTCAGGACCAATCACTTTGAACTCTAAACATTCAAGAATCTCTAACTTAATACTAATTCTTGGTCATCCTTTTGTTACAGCTGTTGTTTTTATCAGCAGTTTCAACCAGCTAAGGGATTATCATAGCTGTCGGGACTGCTCAAAGATTTTTGTCGTGCAAGCGTTTGTTCTTTTTGTAAAGATTTGTGTTCAACAACTTGTTCCTACCTTACCAGTAGTAAACTTTAAGCTGAAAACACCTAATGGGACTGATCCCTAGAAGTTTTGAAATACTTTTGGCATAAATTACTATAAGAATGATGAAAAGTTTTTTACTGAACCCACATTGAGAAGTTAATCAGATTTGCACTATCAAAGCATCACATAACTGCAAATAGTGAAGTATGTGCGCTTAAAACAAAAAGAAAAAACTTCACTAGAAAAGCTTAACGAACTAACAGGACGTGTAGCCAAGTCAAGATGTTGTCGTAGGATTCATAATGAGAATCCATAGAAGTTTATAACCTGGATTTTGTTTATATCAGAAAAGGAGGCAAAAATTGCAAAGATTATGATCCAATTCCTTTTTTTTGTCAGACAGGATAACAAACAAGTCAACTTTTGAAAACTTGCACTACTGTCCCCTGGAAATGCAGTAGTGGAAGTAAGCCTAAATCATTGGTAATCATAATCATAGTTTTTAAAAACCTTTAATTATAACATCTGAAATTACAGCTTCACTAGACAGCCATTATACTAGACTGATTCGCCTTTGAGGAAAACGTTTACTAGAGTAAAAGTATATGAACAATTTTGACTGTTGAGAATTAACTCAAGCACTAATAAGTATTGCTCACTATTATACAGTCAGGTTAATGACTGGTTATACTGACTTCAGCTTGAGTTGACTTATGGACGATAAAACATGAGAGCCGATAATATCATTCACAAAATATCAGTATTATAACCGTTAAGTTCTAAAAAGTATTTTCAGGACATTTATTTCGGTTTCTATTTTGTGTCAGTTGTTATATGGGGAATAAAATGTTGATACAGAACTATGTGGTACATTTTTCATCTCCATAAAACTCGTATGTATCTTTTCTTTTATTCAGTTTTCCTTTAAAAGTCAATAAGACTATATATTTAGTTCATTGCATAAGTCATATGCCCTACATACTGTCAACAAATAAACTTGGTTCAGGTAACTAACCTCATTTATGAATTGATTGATTAGAAGGATCAAACTTTAAGGAATATTGTTGGTTGCTAATCTAGAGGATTCTGCAAATTTAAATTACACGTAAGTTAGGAATAATCAGTCCACAATCTTCAGTCGTTCATACCTCTGGTTGAGACAACGGATCAAATACAGTCCTAGAGGAGATCAGTCACTTTTCAAATATCCCAGTGGTAGAGTTTTTGACTGCAGTACTGATTGACGTGGGTTCAAGTCTTGTGGATACCAGTTCCCTCAAGTTTGCACATATGCCCAGGTTAAACAGAGTTTCCTATCGATTGCCTTCAACCATGATGGGGAATCTCCTAACTAAGTGACTAGACTACAAAGTGATTAGTGGAGTTCAGTCAGTATTCACGATAAGATAACATGAAATTGGCTACTTTAGACTAACGAATCAGCGTGCAGTGATGAGTGGATGCTGAAGATGTTATTTTCTTTTGAAACAACAGGCTTCTCTGAACTAAATTTCTGAGGTATCAATGACTAGTTCATGAATTGAATTACAAAGCCATCAAGTATTTCTATAATTCTAGTGGTCTTGTCGGTTAGTATTGGCTGATGATGAGAATTAATTATGTATTTATTTGAGTTATGAATTCTACTAATCCGGAAGTCTAAGAAGATGAATACTTTGCTATAGATTGGAGGATAATGACTAAACCATAAAAATTAAACCGCGGTATTTGTCCAATCAAATGGACTGGTCGCAAAAGCCGGCTTTAAATCTCATTGACCTAGTTAATAATGATATAGCATTTAACTCAATGCAAGAGGAAAACTGATACTCTTGGATGTAGGAAATTCAGGAGGATAACTATAAAATATAATCAAATGCATACACACGTTTCCATTACTAGCCACCTTATTTTTACTCAAGTCAATGTAACGATCGACTCTAGGTTGCTTTTTTGTTTTGTCCAACTTCCCATGAAATACTGTTATCGACTGGATAGTGTTTCAGACAAGAATAACTGCTATTATACAGATAAAGGCTTTATCAGATAATAGATAAACCGAAATGGAGCTATCTTCTACCTAGTCATAAATTTTATTTGTTGGACTGAATAATTCTATGACGGCTTAATCCCTGAAGGTTAACCAGAGTATCAAAAATTTACCAAACGAAATAATAACTCAGTATAACTACGATACCTATAGAAATATATTTCCAAGTTTCTGTTAGATAAGAGAAGTAACAATTTCAAAAAAACACATATAAGTCCCAGTACGTGGTGAAAAGAGCATTCAATAAGGGATTCAGTTCCTGTTTTTCTTTTATCTGAGTAAATGCTGTAATGTACTGACTGTGAAGTTTGGATACAAAGACAGTTGTGTTAATTTGAGATCCCTAGAACTTTTGAAATGAAGACTAGATTGTACAGAATTCACTGCACAGACAGTTAGGTAATAATTCCGAAAGTGAATATTCTATAGGGAGACAATAGCGTTCATTGGATTATTTAATGACTATGAACATTTCTTCTTCCTCACCAGACAACATTGCAATGAAAATTAGGAACAAAATATAACTAACAAATTCAACTGAAAGAAAATAACCCCTCATTCCGCAGAATAAAAGTAATCAAAAGTTTTCAAACATCAGTAATTTGAAATGCTTTTCTAAATACTAATGACTATCAATGCGACTATCCTAGATAGCTGTGGTTTGCTGGACTCATGTTATTGATACTGCGTGATGGTTGGAGGAGAAATGAAAACCTGGGCTGCAGCAGGATTTGAACCAAAGGTCTGGGCATTATCCGCCCTATGGTTTGTCAACTAAGCTATTAGACCTAGCTGCTGATTAGATCTTAAATTGGTACCTAAAGGTATCAAGGCTTCTGTCCAATTGCCATGTAAATCTGTGATACGTAACTGTCGGTTCATCGCAATCATACTAGTTGCCCTGACACATCTTTTCGTCCTAATCCAAACAGAAATGTGTTAGAGAGAGAGAGAGAGAGAGATAAAGGGTTATGTTGGATATAAATTTTTAAGTCAAACACTTGTTTCAATTTAAATGAAGACAAACAAACGCTTACCCATGGCTTTCATAATGTCATTTACTCCCAGGTGTTTTAACTTGATATTAAGTCGTGGATCATAAGGTTTGATAGTAAAAATACATTATGAGTATTTGCACGAAGATTGTTAAAACAGAAATCCTCTTCCCTCACCGCCAATCTACAAGAAATTTTGTTATGTTCTTTTTCTAGCCTAATAGGCGAATACTATGTCTGTTGGGTGAGGAAATTCGGGCTCCGTGAAATGATTGGTAGATTTTCAAGGTCATGTTTAATATAACCTTTTTGGTTAATTCGACTAGTTGTAATGTTGAGGACAGACTTTATGCGATCAAATAATTAAGCCTACAACCAGTGCTTTCACGATAAAATGTATGCTGTTTTGAAAAATGATAAAAACACATCTTCATTGTGTAAAGAAATTGGAATACTATTACAATTCGACGTCACGTGAACAGTTATATTATTGAAATTTGACTGTAACAAACAGTAAAACAGACTGCCCTGTTAGTAGTAGTGGGTGGATAAAAATAGAAATAACAAATAAAAGAGTGAAATTTCAGCTGGTTATTAGAAAATAAGGGTTAAAATGTATAAGACATTTCAATTAATTGATTGATTAATTGATTTGAAGACGTATCAGTAAGTGGGTATTAGATTAACGATATAATGAAGAAATCCAGATGTTCCTGCTAAGCAGAATTGATGTTGTAGTATCTGAGTGCTTGATGAACATCATGATCACTTTCCGAGTTGAACATCACAGTGATTTATATCATTCGTCGACGTGATCAGTAGGAAAATGCAAGACATGCATTTCAAACTGTTTGGGATACGTCAATTGAGTGTACTTACCTATGTGGTCCAATTGGAATTCAGTACCCAACACCTCCAACTTCAAAATCTTTTTCAGTTAGCAAGGATACTTTGGTAGCCCCTAAGAGTATCAGTTATTATTGAAGCAGTAATTGTTGAGTTGGAATTGGAGTATGTTCACTGAAAATAAGATGCAAACGAGTCTAAAAGAGAACGTAGAAAGTTATAAATTTGAGTCCTAGGTACTGAAAACTATCAGGAAAGTTAAAACTAGAATTTTGAAGCTGAAACAAGCTTGTTACGTCATAAAGAAAACAAGAAAGAGTTTAGTGAAGAGGATCTTACTTTTCAACAATGTTATGTATTTAATAGTTCATTACAATAGGATATAGTTGCGTCATTAGAGTACTGTTCAGCACTGGAATACGGAATACGCATAATAATTTGTGCTATGATGCAATTGACAAGGAAGGTGAGCAATTTAACAAGTTGGAAACATATGGTTGAGTACTTACTAGATAGGTGTAAAGAAGGTCAAGAAAGAAACTTAAGGGTCATAATGAATATGATGAAAGTAAACTGATTAATTATGATGAAGTAGAATAAAACAAAAATAGAGACTGAACATTAATTTTCTGCACACACAGATCAAGTATGACTTGGTGGAATTGCCAGTCCTTCTACCATACACAAGTTTCGATTCTTTGACTTTGTAGATGATACTGAAGTTATTTGACCAAACTTGAGCAGATGTTGAAGAACTGAATTGGTGATTATTTCGCATGCTCCTTTGATAACCATGCAGGATAATGTCCAGAGATGTGTTTGGGAAATGTGGGCTTTATCCTGCCAATATAACTAGTTCCGTAGGAACAAATACTCTTGCAAACCCACAGTAAAGTAGTTTTTAAAACGGCACCTTGACTTTCAACAATTCTAAAATTATTCGTTGACTGGAGAAGGTTATCTGTAACTTGATGAAGGAAAATGTCTTTCTCAGTGATTTGGACAAATGATTTATCAACAGCTCTGATGTGATATTACTTCTCAAGTCAGTCTTCATCAATAGAGTCTTCTTTGAGAAGTTGAGTATTTGCTCAATATACTGTGTGAATTTCAGGGTTTTTTCAATGAACTGAGATGGACATCGGTTCTGTATGTTCAAGTGTCAATGTTTTTCCGACTCATCTTCGATCTCTTCATTTGTATAGGTTCTTCTGAAGTTTTCTGACAAAGAATGAACTAGATTTATTTTTCTTCTGTGTGGTCTCCAGCTAAAGGGATTCATGTTAGCTCCCTGTAGATTGATATCTGAAAGCCATACGGTCTCGTTTACAGTAAAAGAATTATGAAAATTGACTTCCTAGTCTTCTTCGAATTCTGACATGAAGCTGGTCGATTGACGTCAGTTATTAAGCTTATCAACTACAACTTCAACATTACTATTTTCATCAAACACGTTGAATTCATCTTCCATCTGACTTTCGACATAGACAGAAACTGTTAATCGTCTAGTGCAGCATACATACCATTCCTTTGATTTTCAATAAAAAACAACTCTGATTTTATTAATATAAATGACTGATAAGGACAAACATCTTTTTTTAACTAGCTTAAACCTGTATCAATATATTTCGTGAAAAATTTAAACCAATGAGAACATTCATTAAATTTTGACATTTCGTGAAAGTTTGTATCTAGCTAGACGCTCATAAATATAGGAGCAAAACTTGAGCACTGTAGTAGATTGTTATTCTACTTTAGCTAGTTTATTAGAAATGTTACACAACTTTGAGACAGTTTATGTAGATCTATATAAACTGCCTCAAAGTTATGGAGTTACACGATATGAATATGAACAATAAATTATGTCTAGAATGTTACCCAGTAAATGGTACTGTTTCACTGTATGACATCTCTAATAAACCAACTGAAAAAGACGCTCATAAACCTGGAAACTGATATTTGATACAATTATGCTTTCATATTGTTGACTGTCCCATTCTCGGTTCTTCATTTAGATATTTAATGATTTGTTTGTGTTTTTAGTGGTTATAGATAGTAGTTGTGATGCGAACAGTTATACAGAAATGGTGTAGTTTAAACTGACTCTCTGACAGTGTCTCAGGCATTTAAGTGTTATCTGTGTTAAAGAGAAATTCAAGCAGATAGCGGTTGTTTCCACACATTCTAAAAACCCTCTCTTGTGCCTACATATATCTACTTTCACGGCAGAACTCCAGGTCATATTTCAATGACAGCAATTCAATCGTAGATAAAAATTTCAGTGTTTGTAGCTAAGATTTTCAACTTGACTTTTCGAAGGCATACATGCTGCACAGTATCATATTGGTTTTTTGAAACCAATACTCTGCATAAGATGTTCGGGTTACTTACTAGTGAGTGTTTGAGATTTGTGTCAGCTTTAAAGGTGGTTTCCGTAATGTGATATCATTATCATTCTTTAAGTTGGCATAAAATTTGATGACTGATTAAGGATGGAACCTTAACTCTTCTCTTAATAGTTACACATAACTGTGTAAACCTTATCCAAGTTTAGATAATTTAGGTGGTTAGAGGCAATCAACATGAAGTTCTCCTTGACTTGGGTTTTGTACTTGTTTGCACTCGTCAGCTGGGCGCATATGCAACATCGAAGGAAATTATGTCACCTCTATTTGGGAAGCGACTGACTTCCTGTATGACTGGTTTAAAAATACTGATTCGTCACTGAAACGTAACCAATTTTATGTTGTCGAGTCCTGAGTGCAGAATGAATTCTATCATCCATTTTGTGATGCGGCTACAGAGCTACGCCCCTATTTCTTCAAATTTGTTAGATTTATCCAGTTACTTGAAGAAACTTAAAATGATATTGTACTGTGCATCACTTCATGTTCCAACTTATATACATTTGTTCATGTGTTGCACAATGGTACATATCTAATCCGATATTTGAGTAAATTAGATCCTACCTTTTTCACCTTGGCTGCTCATATTAAATTATGATCACTTTTGAAAATACTATTACTTCTGGGTAGTTAACTACCTTTTTCTGTTTTATCTCCACCAAAGTACTGCAGAAACATTAATGGTCAAAAACTGAGCACATTAGGTTCGCCTTCATTGTTAACCTATGTTAATTCAAAAACTATTCATCTCATGAAGTGTGCAATATCAAAATACTTTCATAATATCGATATTCGAAGACAAAAATCACTATCTTGGCGAAAAGGTGAAATGACTGGACAATCAGACTACCGCTTTGCTACAAATGCAACATAGAATTTACATTACGTTCATTATTCCCATTTTGACATCAAAGACGAGATATTCAGCGAAGAGGACTCTTTTTAACGAATTTATTCTCAGGCTGAACATTCGTATATATATATATATATATATATATATATATATATATGATTTTTAAAGACAGTAACCCGTGAGGAAGATTTAACTGAAATAATGGGGAGTTGAAACAATAATAATGATGGTGGTGATAATTATAATGTTGATAGTTGATGACGTAAAGGTCGAATGGTAACAAAAAGGGGTTACGTAGGTCTTTCAAATCGTTTATAAAGTGCATGTAGACTAGAAGGAGTGAGAACGTTAATAAACAATCAAAGGATTAGTTAATATAAATGAGACAAGTTAATTGGAGTAAATTGAAAATGTTTTGTTAAAAGTTGCGATTATTAGGAAGATCTAATGAAATAACACCAGAAACAAATAAATACAAAAAACAGAGTGATAATGACGATATAAGAGTACGAAGATTAATCCGACAAAAAAGAGGAAGGGGGTGAAAAATGAAAAAAGGAGGAAGCGCACGAAGACTAAAATAAATTAAGGTTAAGGTAGTGACAAAGACTGTACGTACTTCTTTTGCACACAAAGGTCAGGCTTCAGTTCATGGATAGCCAAGGCCTCTGCTGTTTTTAGAAGCTGAACACAGAGGAAATGTGAGGTGTTAGAGCGAATTCGATAGGCAATCTTGAAATCCTTTTTTGGGTAGGCTGAATGGTTGGAATCGAATAAATGCTCAAGGATAGAACTTCTTATGCATTTCCTTAATATAATACATTGTAATTATCACCACCATCATTATATTATTGTTTCAAACTCCCATTATTTCAGTCAAATCTTCCTCACGGATTACTGTCTTTAAAAATCATATATATATATATATATATATATATATATATATATACG